TATTAATAGTTTTAAATTTATTATAAAAATAAAAATAGTATATTAAGTATTTAAAGCTTTTAATATTATTTAAAAACTTATTATTTATTATAATATAATTATATTTATATACTTAAAAGTAATAATTAAAATCAAAAATATAAAAAATTAAGAATTATTCTCTTATAATAATATTTATAATAATAATAGTTATATATTTATAAAGCTAAACTAAGTTAAAAATTTATTTTAATTAAGTATCAAAAGTATATTTATCAAATTAAAGCTTTAGATTTATTTGATAAAGCTTTTCTAATATTTTTTGTAAATAAATTAAATATTCTTTCTAAGTTTCTGAATATATAATAATATTATTTAAATATATAACTATAAATTTTCTAATATATTCTTTGAATATTTTATTTATTAGTCTTTAAAAGATAGTTAGAATATTAGTAAGTCTAAATAGTAATATATTAAAATAAAATAAATCTTTATTAGTAATAAATATTATCTTTTTTTATTTCTTAAATATATTTTTACTTGTTAAAATTTATTTATAAGATTTATAATAATAAAATATTTGATATTCTTAAATAAATCAAGAAGTTTATTAATTTATGATAATAAATATTGATTCTTTTTAGAAATTTTATTTAATTTTTATAATCTATATTAAAGATGATATCTTAATTAATTATAACCTATAATAGTTAATCAGAGAATTGTGATTTAATTATGATTAATCATGATTAAAGATGGCTTCTCAACTATTGTAACGTAATAATAAATAAAGCATCACCTAGTTGCAACTAGTTATAACTTATAAAATTTTGGAGTTGCAACATATTGTAACAGATAATAAATAAGTATCATATACTTGTTGTACCATCTTTAATTATGATAACTAATCAAAGAATTATAATTAAGTTATAACTAATTGTAATACTATCTCTTATTTATACATAACTAAAATTTTTTATTTTTTTTCTTATAATTATAATAAGAGCAGATCATAAGCTTTTAAAAGAAAATATTATCAAGTATTTTTTGAATTTTTTTTTTAAAAAAAATATTTTTTATAGATAACTTGTAATAATATAGTTAAAGAATAATTAATCTTTTTTTTTCTAGATATATTTTATATTGAAGAATATTTATTTAATCTGATTAAGTTATATTAAAAAGATTCTTATAACTATTTAGAACTTGATAAAATTATTATTATTATTCTAAATCTAGATTTAACTCTATCATAGTAAAAGTAATATTAAATAATAGCTATAGTAATATTTCTAATTGATTATATATACTTTGTTTAGCTTTATATTGAAGATATTTGTGATTATTATTTTAAATATAATAGTTCTATCAAAATTAAAAATAATCTTTTACTATATTATTCTATTATGTATATGAATATTATATTATAAATAATTTAAAAATATAAATTTTAAATAAAAATAAGATATAGTATTTTAAAAATAGAAATATGATAATAAATATAATAATAAAAATAAATATATAATATGAAAATAGAGATATTTATAAAATAAATAAAAATTATAAAAAATATGATTTTACATAATTAAGAAAAGATTATAAAATTAAGAAATTTTATATTACTATAATAATAATATAACTTGATCTAATTTTTCTATTTTTTTTATTTAATTAATAAGATTTTTAAATTTAATTTTATACTTTTGTATACTTTTATATAGTATTAGGTTAATAAAATTAATAAAGTTATTAATAAAGATATTATTAAGAATTAAATAATTAAAAAGTATTATAAACTTTATTAAGAAAATTATTTTAATTTTCAAAAATATTTTGATTTTTAATAATATATATTTTATTTAAATATTAATAAAGAATAATAATTTTTAAATCAATTTTAGTATATAAAATTTAAGTTTATTTATTTTGTATTTTTAAGTAATAAGTATTTTAAATATTTATAAAATTTAAATATTAATATTTTTATATAATTCTTCTTTATATATAAAAATCTTGAGAGAAATTTGTAATATAAAAGAATTATTATTTTATTAATTATTATTATTATTATTATTATTATTATTATTATTATTATTATTATTATTATTATTATTATTATTTATTATTATTATTATTAGATAAGATTAATAAAAAGTTATTAGAATTAATTATCTGTAAGATCAATATTAAATATAATATAAGTAAATATATATATATATATAAAATTTTAGTTTATTTTATTATTATTAATATTATAAGTTTTCTAATATATAATATGAATTATCAAGAAATTCATATAGAATTTCAAGATAATTATGAAATAATTAATTTAGAATTCATATAAAAAATTAAGTTAAATATAAATAAAATATTATTATTAAAACTTAAAACTTTATTATAATTATAATTATTAAAAATACAGAATAAAAATAATATCTTTAAATAAGAATTATATAAATAAATAATAATTATTGATATATAAATACTTATATAGTAGTATCTTTAGAAAATACTTATTATATATAATATAATAATAAAATATTATAAGTAATAAATAAAAAAGAATAATATATCTAATTATTTTAATAAAATAAAATATAAAAAAAATTTTATTAAAAATATTTTTTAAGATTAAAATAACTTAAATAATTATATAATTATTCTTAATATAATTAGATAATTATAATATAGTAAATTATATATAATATAATATTATAATACAACATAATCTATGAACTAATTTAATTAATTTTTATTATAATTTTTTTAATTAATAATATTTTTTTAACTAATTATTTTTTTATTAATATAAATATTTTTAGATAAAAATTTAAAATCTTTAAATTAGTAATTTAATAATAGTTAAGTTTATATTTATTATAATTCTTTTTTGATTCATTTTTTTATTTATTAAAAAAATTTCTAGATAAAAGTTCAGAATTTTCAAATTATAAATTAAATAAAAATAATATTTTAAATAAGTTAATATTTTATTATAATTTTTATTATAATTTTTTTACTTAATTATTTTTTTAATTAATAATTTTTCTTTTTTAATTAATAATTGAATAATAGTAATAATTTAAATAAGTTTGATAGAATCTTTTATTTATATTATTATTTATTTTTTTAAATTAATTTTTTTACTAACTTAAAAATTTTTAGATGAAAGTTCAGAACTTTTAAATTAATAAATAAATAATAATAATAATTTGAATAAGTTTATATTTGCTAAAATTTTTAATATTCACTATTAATTTTATAATTAATTATATATCATTTAAATTTCAATAAATAAGTTAACAATAATAAAATTAATATTAATTTATGATTCAAATAAGATAGAATATATATATATATATATATATATATATATATATATAACTTTATATAATTAATTCATTTTTTAAAATTAAATTTTATGAAATAATTTTATAAATAAAAAAATAAAGAATAAAGTATATATTTATTATATAATAGAGATCAAAGTATTTAATTAGGCTGTAACTTTTTAAATTAAAAATTAATTATCTTGAAATTTTTAGTATAGTTAATAAAATATAAAGCTAAATTCTATGAGTTTTTTTTATAAGTTTATAATTATTATAACAAAATTTTAGAATTTTAAAATTAATTTTTTATATAAATAAAAAATATTAACAATTAATATATTAAAATTAAGTATTTTTTTTAATAATAGCAAAAAAATTTTAATAAGCTAGTTATTGAGAAATTAAATTTTATTATATATATATTAAAAAAATAATTGAATACCAAAATTTAAAATTAATATTTCAACAACTGGCTTATTAAATGATACAAATGTTTTGTTATAATTATTCCAAAAAGTTTAAACTGAAAAAATTTTAACATAAAAAGTTACAAATGGTTGGAATGTATATAGCTTTGAGTCTTTATCATGCCGTCATATGCCAATCCCAAATATAAGCAATCCCTTTATACATGTATGAACAATCTCACCACACATTTGAAGAATTGATTCCCTGTTTGCCTGTCAAAACTCTCTTAGTTGCTTTTAAACTATGTCTTATTTTTAGACAAACAATCATTCAGATTTTCAAAATAAGAAGCTTTATGAATTATTCTTATATAACGATGATTTATGCTTGATCAGAAAATATCAAGTGACACAGAATTTATTAAATTCCGAACACAGTCATTTCTGAGGCGACTTCCTACCGATAGCAATGTTAACGAAGCTTAGCGACTTAAATATGCGTAATATCTTTAAAACAGGCAATAAACTTAATAAGAAAATTTAGATTATTATTTTTCGATATGAAAGCCTGATGCTCATTAATCAGGACCGCAAATTAAAGAAACATCAAAACACATATTTAATACCAATACCATAAATTCCATATTTTCACACTAAATAAGTGCTTTACCACATCAGCGTAAATAAACGCAAGACAAATGAAGAAGTATTTACATTAAGACAAGAAAAAGATGAAAAATAAAACAACGAACTTGCATTTAGGGAAGTAAGTTGTTTTTCATTATTTTAATTTGAAAATCATCTGCATAATCATAAATGATCATCTTTCGTTAATTATGAATCGTTAAATCGTACTTCGTACCTTCGCCTCTAAATACATGTATACAGATTCGAAGATCTACGTTCGCACATGTACTTTTATTTACGGTATACAATATAAGAATGTTATCGCTATACTGTAAAACGGACGGATAAATAATAGATTCATTTGAGATTTATCTCCTTTTTTTTTTTTTTACATGAACTTGATAATAATGTGTTTAACTGTTTAAATATTCACCTATTCCTTTTTGTCTACGTTGTTTTTATGATCTGCCATATATGTTTGCTTAAGACAATTTTCTTATCGTTATGGAAACATGCTAGACGAATGTAAATAAACATATTTTGTAAATGGGGTGTAATTTTTTCTTAATTCTATATCATAAACTGCTGCATAATTGTAAGATAGTGTGAATGAAATACGTATAAATTATGAGTTTCAAAAATTTTATAAAATTTATAGTATTAAGCATCGTTTCTTCTTTTTTCTGGGAATCCCAGCATCACGATTAGCCTGAATCATTCTGACAACAGTGTAAAATGCTCTATGAACATTTACACATGTTCTTGACGAACATTCGATGAATTCACATCCAAGAAGTCGAGCCATATTCATGCCTTCTTCCCGTGAAACCTCCCGTTCAGTCGTCTTATCACAATTGTTTCCAACGAGCATAATAGGGACCGAATCGGTATCTTTGACTCGACATATTTGATTCCGAAATCGTCCTATTCGCTCAAAGGTGGACCGCGATGAAATCGAGTAGACGATAAGGAAACCTTCACCGTCTCTAATCCATTGATCACGTAATGCGGAAAATTTCTCCTGTCCAGCCAGATCCAACACCTCTAAAACACATGGTTCGTCATCAATGACAACGTGCTTTCTATATGAATCTTCAATTCTAGGATCATAAGTCTCGGCAAAATGATTCAGACATAACTGAATCGTAAGTTCTGTCTTGCCTGTACAATCGTCGCCAAGTACAACAAGTTTATATAGCATCATCTTGAGAGCTTTAGCGAGACAAGAAATGTTGAACGTTACATATTTGTAAACAAAATTTATGTTTCGTGCATATCTAATACATATACATGAATGTATACATTACGCACATGTATATGTATTAAGAGTGCAGTATACCAAATACACTGCTGCTCGTACAACGCTGGTGCATGTACTTCATTTTATTGGATGGATTTATTTAAATACAGTGTGTATTAAAAATTCATAACGGTGATCAATAAAAATCTTTAGCTTTTTGAATTTCAAAATAAAGCTCAGAACATTCACAACAGTTTCTAGCACAAAACTTTAAATTCTATTGCTCAGAATCAATAATCATTTCAATTAAAATAGTGAATTCAATCAAAAAATCACAGTGTGGGTTTTTAGTTAATCAATTCTAGCTATTAAAGGTTTGAATGATCGACTAAAATTCTCATTGCTTATTTTTTTTAAACTTTCATTAAATTTATTGGTCATATTATGTATGCAACTACTGATCATCCTTGTTCTGTTACACTTCTTTCACATTCTATTTGAGATAAAGTTTATCTTGTGGAAAACGCATTATCATCCAGAAGGACATGACTTCGCATTATTTAAATACTAATGCAAAAATTTACTTCTTACCAGCATGCGGAATTATATACCAGTGAAGACTTCTTTAATATATCATTGAAAGCAGCTCCTTGCGAGAAAACTTTGGCCCTCTTCATTCGTTGTTCAATGATCTAATCCCATATTTTTTTTCTCAGATATTAGGGAGGTGACGCAGCATTGATGCATAAGACACAAAGACGAGGACTAGTAAAGAAATCGACAACGTGCTTGACTGAAATTGTGTTGTGCATGACCTGCAAAGTATATCCATAGTAGGCTTTGAAATTCTCCGACTATGATGTAATGAAATTTTGCTGTGAACGATTAGACAAGGTGTCGAAGATACATTCCAAGTTTGAATGTTGCTTTAAGATTTCCTATGCTGCTTGAATTTTTGGATTTTTTTGGAGCATTACTTTTCATTTGGGAACATATAAGCTGAACTGTGATAAATTTTTCAATTATTGGAGATGTAGAAACAAAAAGCCTTCAAGACTTGCATTCCTGTCATTATGAATACCTTGTGGAATGATTCGCAGAGATACGCATGTATGTTACCATTAATATCAGTAGCTTGCAGAGTGCCTGGATACTTGTCTAGCAAGTAATATATCGAAATATTTCTGTAGTTAGGGTTTCTATCTTAAGGTAGGAAAGCTGAACTTAGCATCGGGGAAGAGTTCTTCCAACATTGTGATCAGTTTCATAAACATAGAACCTAGAATTCATATTGAATTCTTTCCATTCTCCAGCTTGGGTCAACAACTTTGCCCAAGATTTGGAAGACGACTGGCCTGTAGCAGTTTTGGTTCATAGCATCACCCAGCAGTATGAATGAAACACGGATATAAATTTATTCTTTTTCTTGGTATTCTCCCGATTCAAGATGCCAGATCTTTGTAGTAGACAGTCTTTCCATCTACTATGAGAGATCAGTCGTAGAAGAATGGTACTGGCTAACGCATCGCGTAATTCACGAAATCTTCGAAAGGTCACGTCTTTTTAGAGAACTTGCCAAAATCCGCCATATCGATATTATGCAGAAGTTTGTCTCCTCGGTCATTTTCATATTCCCTGTGATAATGATTATAAAATATCTACACAGCCCGAGTCATCACAGAAATATCGACGGAACAGGTTGTCATACTTAAGGTAGTAGTTTGCTAAACGTAAAGTGCGGCCACCATAACACTTGCCAGGCTTATTTTACTCCCAAGATTGAACACGTCGTCATCGTCAGTAAGTGATAGGTGTAAAAGGAGGTACGTTGATTCGTTGACATGTTCTAAGCGTACCTTGAATCGTTCCGCGTAGATAAGAACAAAAAGAGTGACAGCTTAGTGTAATAACAGCATAACAACTTTAACGAAGGCGTCAATACCAAGGACTAGCATGGAAGAGATTATTGATGCATTGCGCAAAAGGTATGAAGAGATCATACTCACAACAGTTGTTAACTTGAGTAACGACATGCTTTGGTCTGACAGGATTCTCCAAAATTAATCTTGGGGCTGCTATTGGGATCTTCTGTACTGAAAAAGTGTTGGTATAATAATCGAATGGCAATTCACATTAGATTCATTGGCTATTGCTGCAAGTGGGTAAGACATTTTTGACATCCTTGTCGCTGCAGGGATTAGCTTGAATATGAAGCATTTTTTGGACTTGGACCGCAGATCAAGAGGGGAATCGCTGATTAGTTCGATCCGAAGTATGTGACATGCGGAATGTACACCTCCCGGCAAATATGGGGAAGATCGAGCCAAGAGTTGAACAAAATATAAAATAACATTCAGTTAGGCACACACTGTTGAAAGTATCCACAATGGAATGAGCAGATGAAATGCATACTTGAAATGGTTTGGTGTCTGTAAGCCATTCATACTACTTCATCCATCTGTGAATTTCTAATAAAACGTGCATCTTAAATTTAAATCTGTGAAACAAGAAAATATACAAACAATGTGACACGTTCCCTCAAATGGATGTATTGATAAGATGGATAAAGTTAATTTTCACACACGCAAAAATATCTGATTAAGTACTTGCTGCCATAAAAAATTTGTAAATTCCGTATAGCCCACGCACACGCTTCCTCAACATCCTCCCATCTGGGTCTTCGCGGCCACAAGTTCTTGATATCTCCAACAGAAGGAGTGGTTTGGTGAATAGACGAAAAGGTCCGTAGGCCAAAGATTAGTCTGTCAAGATGCTGGCTACCTTTTGGTGGGTGAACTTGTAAAGCGACCCGGAAAAAAGCGACAGTAATTTTAACCGCAGCAGAAACATGGTCAATTTTGCCCCAGATGATGTAAATTAATTAGAGGCGCATGAGTTCATATGAGTGGATTTGATTCCACAATGGATTTAAAAATTATGTCTAGATTAGGCAAAAATTCTAAAAGTTAAAAAGCGTTCCCCACTTGATTGTGCGACAAAACTGATGTTTGATGATTCTCTAAGTGAATTTATATAATCATAGATATCAGAGAGACCTTCGACAAATTGCAAATATGTTAAAAGCTATTGCTTTCATTCTGATAGTGATCATATTACCCATTGTCCTGCTTCGTTTTCTGCGTGCGGACCTTCAGCAGACGATGATTAACGCCAAAAACCAGCAGTCCAAAGGTTCCAACGCAAAGAAAACAAAGAAAAGCAATACTGACGACAATTCAGTGGCTGCTACTACTGCTACTAGTAGCACTACCACCACCGTAGTCACCGCCACTACGGTCACCAAAAAAAAGAAGAAGAAGAAATCGAAGAATGCCAATAAACAACAACAACAACAACAGGGCGGAGGTAGCGAAACAGAAAATGCAGGTGTAGGTGGAAAGGCTGCGGAAGTAGACATTGGTAGCAGTAGCGGGGATAATATTGAGAGGAAACAAAAGAAAGACACTGGTAGTGATACTAATAACGTTAAAAGCGACTATAGCGAGGGTAGTGAAAAGTCTTATGTTCACACACGTGAAGACGAGACAGAGGAAGAAGTCTTGGAGAACGAACTAGAGGATGATAGTGAATTTATGGAGGTTTATATACATCGGCGTAAAGGATCATCGAAGGCAAAAGCGCGCACTTTTAATCCGGTGAGCTCAGGTTAGTTATTGATTCTTCTTATCTCTCGTAACAAGTTCAAGATAAATTTTCTAATAATTAAACAATTAAATAGGATTATTTCTTTTCGTTTCTTTTTAGATGAGTTTCCGCCTCTTCAACAACAGCAGCAGCAGCAACAGTCATCACGGGAAATTGACCCCCATATGGATCCAACTTATTCCTCACAATTTCGCGTGATGCGAATTGTTCCCGATGATAATGCAAATAACAAAAAAACTGGAAGCGGTATTGATTCTATTCGTTTATGATTATTTGGCTATAATTTATATTCGTCGTAAAAAAAAATTCATAATACTGACAAATTCCCAATGGCAGCCGCTGCTTCTAATCGTTCATCACCAAAATCCGCTGATGAACCACTCACAAGGACGCAAAAGAAAAATATTGCAAAAGCCGCCAAACTTAAAGAGGAAGCCAAGATTAGAGCTGAGACGCAGGAGGCAAGATTATTACAGCATAAAAAAGAACTAGAGAGGGAACGAATTAAGGAGTTTGTCAAACAGAATCCACCTAATAAGCAGACGAATAATAAGAAGACTGGACCAACAGCTAGCCTAGATGAAGGAGGACATTTGGTGTGGGATTAATTTATCGGTGGTCTTTCAAGATTATATAACTCAATCGATTATACATAAATAATAGAAATTGATATTTTTTATCGCTATATTATCTTATCGAAAATTATTCTTGTTTAGACTTTCTAATAAATAATTTAACGCACGTTAATCCATGCTTATTATTCATGCATTGAAGATCTTGCCATTTGCCACCAAATTGAATAAAGATCGTCATTTTCCAAATCTTAAATTTTTTCAAAAAAAAAAAAAATAAAATGAACATTCAATTCTTGTTTCCCCGCACAGAGCGTAGAGATAAAGATGACGTTGAAATGCCAGACGCAGATTTTGGAGATGAAGAGCAAGAGAGAGAAGTATTAAATTTCGGCAACACTATTATGGTGACTCCGGGACAACTGATAACTAGTGACCCACAATATATGAAGTATTTACTGGTTTTTTTTTGTAATTCGTTGCTTTTACCCCCTTTATTTCTCTTTCTCGAACGAGATCATTTATAGCATTAATGCGAGATAAACTATGAATAAAGGTGTAATTAAATAAATTTATCATTTTTTCTTGATTTAGAGGACATGGGACATATCCTCTCCCGCAAGACTTGATGTTATCCTCGGTTGCAGGAATTATAGAACGCGTGAATAAGTTGGTTTCGGTGCGACCTTTACACACAAGGTAAAGGAAAAGGCACGCTTAATTTATATTTTCATTCAACTCACTTCTATTTGTACGCGCTTTTTAAAGATATACTGGTGATATAGGCGACTTAGTTATTGGGAGGATAACGGAGGTTAGTCATTCAATTTGTATTAAGACCCTTTCGCTTGTTAATTAATGTGATAATAAGCTTGGAAAGGAAATTTGTTTATCATATATTGAATCTTGAAACAAATAATGTGATAAGCAAGAAAGCGGAATGTAATTCGTTCTCTCTTTATCTCTTTTTTATTTTGTTTATCTTACAATTGAAATTTAAATTCAATCAAACGAAAAAGGTAACCCAAAAAAGATGGAAAGTAGACATAAACTCGCGGCAAGATGGTGTTCTACAGCTATCATCAATCAATCTGCCGGGAGGAGTGCAACGGCGTAAAACAGAAGAAGATGAGTTGCAGATGCGTAAATTTTTTATAGAGGGAGATTTGCTTGTGGTAAATATCATGAATTATATTCGATAAGCTATGCGAGATTAAAAGATAAATAAAATAATAGAAGAAAAAATTAGGCTGAAATACACGCGTTCTTCCAAGATGGAGCCGCAAACTTACATACGAGAAGCTCAAAATATGGAAAGGTACGGTAATTGAAATCAAAATTTTCATTTAATGAATATGAATAAATTCCTTACAATAATAATTGATAAAAAAAATCCAGCTACGAAATGGCTCATTTATCAATGTCCCACCATCACTAGTACAACGTTGCAAAACTCATTTCCATACGCTACCTTGTGGGATTGACGTGATTCTGGGATTGAATGGGTATATTTGGGTGTGCAAACATTCAGCACACAATCCCAATGATAGTGGTGGTTCCAGGATTAATACCCATAGTAGTATGATTATTAATAATATTAGTAATAACGTTGATGTGGATGCGATTTATTCTAGTCAAAATGAGGTATATGAATTTAAGAATACAATGATCAGCCAAAAGAGAAAATGGGATTTGGAGAACTAATTTTATCACGTCTTCGTATAGCCAATCGATGATTCTACACGTGAGAAAATCGCACGGGTTTGCAATTGTATAAATGTTCTAAGTCAAAAATTCATTTATATCAATGATACCGCAATTGCTGATGCATATGACGCGTCCTTGAAGTTTCATGTGAGAGAGTTGAGACACTTGAATGTAATTGATGAGATTGCGTCGATCGTGGTTGCGAAGGTTACTTCCTTGAAAACTGGACTTTTTCAATAAGTTTCTAGGAATAAGAGAATCAATGTTGATTAACTATTAAAAGAATGATAAAGTGGTTCTTGTCGCATTCTAATAATTACTGGTCTATTCAACAATTGAAATGACAACATCAGAAACTTTTTCTATGTTTCAAAAAATCATAATTCATAACGGTAAGTTCATATGTAAACATTTCCGTCTTATAATGATAAGAGAAATTAAAACGAAAACAAAAAGAAACTTTCCCATATTATCGGATTAAACTTAATATAATTCATTACTTTCAAAATTGTTGTATTTTTATGTTATTCCCACCATTTCTATTTATAATATCACCATGAATAATAATATTATTTGTTAAAAGACTTTTTAATAAAATATCATTATTTTATTAATGTTATCTCCTAGTCTCTTCCTTGATGAACAGTAAGACTCGGAGTTTCGATATTTTCTAGATATTCTTTGATGATGGTCTCTCGAAGTTCGGGCATAGGATTTAAAATCAAGTATCTTTGGTCATCCTTAAAAAATTATAAAAAAGGGAGTTAATGATGAGCATCGCACACTATCTTCCATTTTCCCAATCTACCAGTCAGTGAAAGAAAATCATTTAATTCCTACTTTTAAAACGTCGTGTATCTCCTCGATAGTCAACCCAGGTGCTTTCTCTTTGCCGGCGCCAGTCTCGTCAGTTGCGCCATCTTCCGAAAGCTTCACCATTCTAGCACGATATTCGACGAATTGGTTCTCATGCAGCAGTTGTTTAAATTCGGCGGTGGCCTTTTGTATCCGAGACTCGAGGTATTTTTCAAATAACGGTTCCAATACAGATTCTTGTTTAGAGAGTCTGACCGCGCGTGGATCGTCTTTTACGATGGATTGTAGCTCAACCCATGTAGTGTCCAATTTTACATGTTGATCTAGAAGCTCATGGTATGCTTTTAAACGTTTTTGGTAGATATCTGTGAGATGGTCTTCGAAAAGGCTAATCTTATCTGCAAGCGCGAGGCTTTCATTGTGAAAGCGTGGGTCTCGTTCTAGTTCAGGCCTTTTCTCCTCCCATGTAACCTTTATATAAAATTAATTAAGAATTCGCGACACAAAATGAAACTTATAATGATGTAAAAAAAAAATTTATTACCTGGTGACTTCGAATCATATCGATCAATAAACCTTGAAATTCTAATACTGCTTCGTCGTGTAGTGCGGTTTTTTTCACAAGATCTTTACTCCGATTGTGAAAACTTAATTCCCGTCGAACTTCTGCTTCTCTTTTTCTTAAGCTAGCCTCCTCTCTTGTATATTAATATAATAATTAAACGGACTTCATAATATCATAATAATTTCATGAAAAACAACAAATTTATATTAATTGAATACCTGGTTTTTCGTTCTTTCTGCTTACGTTCCTCCTCTCTTTTGGCCATCTCCTCTTCATCTTCCGCCTCTAACTTTCGACAATACTCTCGAAACAATCGTTCTCGATCTTCCGATTCTAGTGCCTCATATCGATGGTCTTCATCAATTATTCGTTTTACCTGACAATATATCATTTCTTATTACATATCATTTAAAAGCTGTTCAAGTTGAGAAAAAAATAATACCTTTCGCCAACTGGAATCGTACTGTATCTCTCTAGTCTCTTGCAATAGCTCTATAAACTCTTTTTCTGCTCTTTTTTGTTGTGCTTTTCTTTCTATATAAAGAATTCAAAACAAACATAATATTTTAATTCATATGCCAACCTTTACTAATAAGAAAGATTTTAAAGAACGTTACTTACTCTTTGCTTCCTTATCTTTCAAATATTTTACGTGCTCTCGAAATTTTTTTTCCTTGTCTTTTTCATTGTCGTAACCTTTGAATCTCGGATCCCGCTTAAATTTCCTGCGAAAATCATCCCAGTGAGTTCCAAGTGAAACCTCATCTTCAAGTAATTTCTCGAATTCCTCTTGAGCAGAGCGAGTCTAAAAAAATTCATTTATTGAATGTTTCAAATAAAAGAATCACAAAAAATCTTGGTGTTAAGAAACGAAAATTATTACCTTTGCTTTTTTCTTCTTTTCTGCTCTCATTTCGACAACTTTTTCTTTACAATACTCATCAAATATTTCTTTTCGTTGCTTCAAAGTGGAAATTACTATTTGCAGAGATTAATTTAATATCGAGATTATTTTTTAAAAAATGACTGCTCAATAGAAAACATATTCTTACTTGTATATCGAGGATCATGTATTATTCTCGGTAGCTCCTTCTCCCACACGGCAAATGGTGAAACATTCATGTCTTTAAGTAAACTCTATCAAATAAATAATATTATATATTTTGTCTGATGAATGTTTCAAAAATAAATCGATTATAACGATTTTCGATTACTTTGAACATTAAAATTCTCTCCTCCGAGGAGAGTTCTACTTCTTTTTCTGTTTCTATTTTTTTCCCTATTTGACCACTATTAGCAAAATCGGCACCCTCAATACGTGTATTGATGTCGTGATTATTTTCGGCTTCTTCGGTTCCATCCAACTCTTCTTCTTCCATAAATTGAAGTTGGTAGGCAATATCATCTGCAGTCAATCTTTTTGCATCATAATTAAAGGTTAGAAATTAGTAAAAATTAAAAGGTTCAAATCAAGTATTCTGATATGAGACATACTCTGTCCCCTCATGTCCTTCTTCAGTACCTCGAGCTTTCTTCAATGAAGGATCTTCGCCGGCATTATCTTCCTCCGTTTCGTTTATTTTTCTCTTTGAACCACCATTTTCACTAACTTTTGATTGCTCGATCAGTTCCTGCTCCTTAATCTTTTTCACTTCGTCCGCAACCTCTTCCGGAACTTCCCATACCGACTGTTTCGTATCGGAATTATAGTAAAATTCATTGCCTTCCGTGGTCTTTACAATATACCATGAAGTTTCGCCGATTTGTCTCCTAAAAAAGAGAAGGGGATTAAGTGGGATAAATAAATAAGCAAGTCTGTCCAACGAAAGCATCAAAAGATAAGGTACTAACAGAACGGAATAAATACGTTCTTTCCCTTGGCCTTTTCTTTCTTTTTCTTCTCTTTTCGTTTCTCCTTTTTCGGGGAGTGAGCTTGTTGTGGGGATGTCCCTTGCATAGTCGTTTGTTGTTTCATGGTAGATGGGTGAAGCATCGGCATGGACATCATGCTGGAGTGGGACTGAAAAGGAGAAGGATGTACCCCATGCACTAATTGAGGTACTCCCATAGGTGAAACACCCATGGGTGGTGGTGGTGCAAGCATTATTGGTCTTTCCCAGGTACTTTGTCCAGTTGATGCATTATAATAATAAAACATTCCATTGGGGGCACGATGTTCAGTCCAACCAGCTGGAAGAAGTGGTCGAAACGGGTGTACCATATGTGGTTGCGGCATTGCTTGAGAGTTCACTGGAGGACGTTGATTCTGATTGATGGGCACACTATTTGCCTGTTGTTGCTCTTCTCGAGTAGGTGAGCGTGTTGCTGAAGATTGCTGCTCCATTATGTGAAAAGATAATCTCTAAACTCAAAGTCCGAGTTTTTTTTGAAGTTCGATTTTAAGGAATGATCGACATGATTTGTTTAATTGGTCGAAAATCAAGATTTCGGATACTCAAACTTCCAAGTTAAATAATCTTCAAATCACAATTTGGGATTTTGTCATAATCCGGAAATGTCACAATTTGGGGATTTGACCAAGCCAAATTTGGTCAAATTACAAATTTGTCCGAAAAAAACCGTTTTTTCTCCACAACAAAGAAATGACATTTTCGAGATGAAAAATCAATCGAGAACCACCAAAAGTTAACCACCATTAGACACTAGAGAAAAGCTTGGCATTGATGTGTAAAATCTATTACATTCGATAATATATATAGCCAGAATCAGAAATTTGGTAAACCGCAGTTTATAAAACATAGCTCATCTTTATTAATCTATCGGCACCCACCGATTTTTTACAAGATTCTATGCTATTCATGGAAATTCTATCCGGAATGAATGAATAACTTTCGGGTGATGTGCCGGTAATAATATGTTTTTGGTAAGTATTAGACTTACGCAATTTAGGACATTTTCTAGGGGAGTAGTTTAACAACGATGCAGACTACAGGATTTTGTCTTTTGTGGAAGCATCCCCAATATATCATCTTCACACACACAACAGTTTAGCGTTTCTTTTTGAGTGTATTTTATTAGTTTTTTTTTTTATAAATTATTTTTCCTTTATAATTTTGAATGAAAGATGCCTTATTACAATAAATATACATACACCACCACTCTTTCGACCTTTCGAAACCTGACTCTTGTTAATTCTAATAATAAAAATATTAAAGCAGAAAAATCTCTTGTTCCTACAGTGACTTCTTACATCCATACTAAACCTAATAAGGTAGTTCGTACTGATTTATTATTACCAAGTCCTCCAGACCTAATTGAACAGCCAAAGCTTGTCCGTACAAGACCGAATACTTTGAGTCGTGTTGAGATGGCTTTTGGTAAGGCTGCTTCTGCTGGTGGTGATGGGGGTAGTGCTGTTGGAACTGCAACAGCACAGTCGGCACAACATCATCAGCATAATAAGTTTGAGCAAAATGGTTCGTCGAACACCAAGAACAAGTAAGCACGCTATCTATTTGCGAATTATTCTATTTTTTGTTTTTTTTTTTTTTTTTTTTTTTGCGACTGCCATATATACATGCGTACATATATATATATATATATGTATATATGTATATATATATACGATGATGGGTGTATTATCGATAACGTCAATTGCCTTTTTTTTCGTAAATCATTTTAATTCATCCGTCCCACTTACTCGCATTCTTTTTACAAAAAAAGTCCTCCATCCAAGACAAAAATCGTTAATCAATACTGTAGATTTTACCACAAATATGGTATGTGTTCTTTTTTGTGAGGTTTCATTATGGAGCAGCGAAATCTACTGCTATTTGTATTGCATTCGATCAAAGTCTCTTTGACGAGAAAGAAGATGATGCCACCAAAACGGTCATCAAATGCATATAAATGCCGCCATTTAATCAAATGGTCAGCACCCACAAGTTTGAATGCATGATTCCACGGTCCAAGATGATCATATTCATCGCTCAATCTTCATGTTCATCATCATCATCATCATCGAAAAGAATACCGGCATCCTGCCAATTCCTTTGGTATTCGCTTGCACACAACCTACAAAACACGCTTTCTCGCGATAATTTTTTTTTATGTACCTAAATTTTTTATTTAACACTATATTCCAGGGCGATGCAAGGAAGGAACTAAATGTGCTTACAAGCATGATGAGGCGAAAATTCCAGTCTGCAAGGATTGGTTAAAAGGCAGCACATGTTCTCGTGGCAGTGATTGCTATTTTCAGCATAGTGCTTCTCCGTATGTGGTCCCGCATTGTAAGCATTTCAAGCGAGGACCTTGCTACAAAGAGGGATGTCGATACACACATGTGCATGTTGCCAGGAACGCTAGTTTATGTAGAAACTTTATTGAAAATGGATACTGCGAGAAAGGTAACACTTGTAAAGAAAAGCATGAATGGCTGTCCAAAGAGGAACTTGAGGATGAGTTAAAAAAAGGTAATAAGCGTAGTTTGGAAGAAGATAGTGAAGAATCAGCTCAATCAGCAAAGAGTAGAAAAGTTGATGACGATAATTCTGGACCTGAGGACATCTGGGGAAGAGAATTTATCTCGTTAAAAGATATTTAAAATTATTTATTTTTTTTTTCTTAATCAAAAAAATCACATCGTCATCATCATCATCAAAAATAACGACAATAATAATAATAATAATAATTACGACGACGACGACGACAACAACAACAACATCAACAACAACGACAACAACAACGACAACAACAACGACGACGACGACGACATCGAGAACAACAATATCAACAAAAAACCGAGAAAGTGATAATATAATTTAATAATAATAATAATTTTATTTGCTAAAAAAAAAATTCAAGAAATAATATTAATTAATTTGTTCGTATTACAGAGACAGAAAATATAGTAATTATAGCAGCATCGAGGTTATTTAAAATTGTAAAGATAAAAATAATATTTAATAATTCACTTGTAGATATTGTAGATACTTAAAATAAAGATCGAAGAATTTCTAATCATTTGAAACGTGACAAATATATCGATATTAAGAATGGGATCATCGATGATCACATCGACTCGAAAATACTTGAAAATCTAATTGACATGATGCTAACGTAATATTTTGGTAATCTTTATGAGGTGACCCAGAACTTTCACGCGACACACCGTATTTGTCTGGAAAACACATTTACAGTTTAAATGACGTGTGATGCTAACCATTTACGGAAGATACTCATGATTAATTTAAAAAAAAATCGGGAACCTGCATTTTTTTTTGGGAAAAAATTTGCGAATTTTTATTTATAAAATGATGGTTAACCCATTTATTAGAGCCAAATTTGTGAACCTTTTATTTTTAGGAAATTAAACGTACGCTTTCTTATAATGTCTTGGAATCTTTCCATAGATTCAAATCAAGTTATTATATAGCTCACGCACGGCTTTGCATTATACCTAACCTACAAATTCTCCTTTGACTTATAGATCCATTTCAGTTTCTTCTTATAACAGCAAATAATTAGAAACCATGCCTAATAAGGACCCTTCGTCTCTTAATACTCCGGAGAATCAGGATCTTCGTTTGCTTGTTGTATCAAACCGTCTTCCCGTTACAATTACTAAAAATGAAAAAGATTATAGTTTCAAATTGTCCTCGGGTGGTCTGGTGAGTGCTCTGAGTGGCTTGAAAAAAATGATGACATTTACTTGGATTGGATGGCCAGGTTAGTTCAATCAAGTACGAAAATCCCGTGATGATGATCCCCTCTCACTGAAATGATGATACATCCTAGGTGTTAATGTCCCCGAAGACGAAATGCCAAAGGTTATTCATGAGCTCGAGAAAAAATCTTGTCTCCCAGTGTTTGTTGATGACGAACTGGCAGATCGTCATTATAATGGTTTTTCAAATTCGATCTTATGGCCATTGTTCCATTACCATCCCGGTGAGATCTCCTTTGATCAGGATGATTGGTCCGCATATCAACGAGTCAATAATCTGTTCGCAGAAGCAATTTGTAAAATAGTCAAAGACGGGGATTTGGTTTGGATACAAGACTATCATCTGATGTTATTGCCAAGTTTGCTGAGAGAGAAGATGGGGACTGCAAAGAAACACGTGAAAATTGGCTTTTTCTTGCACACACCATTTCCCAGCAGTGAAATTTACCGGTAATTTGCAGAGTACCTTATTATGACCTATTATCCCATCAAATTTACTTACCGTTAATAATTGTTTGTTTTAAAGAATTTTACCTGTTCGTAAGGAAATTCTCACAGGAGTACTTAGTTCCGACCTAATCGGTTTTCATACCTATGATTATGTTCGACATTTTCTATCCTCGTGTACACGCATTCTAGGCCTGTCAACTATGCCTAATGCTATAGATTACGAGGGAAGACATGTTCATGTTGGTACATTTCCCATCGGAATTGATCCTGAAAAGTTTGTTGAAGTAAGCATTCAATAATATATGGGATCATCTTAAATGTGTTTGATTCTGAAATTTAATTGTATGTTTATTGTAAAAAAAAAAAAGGGATTGTCACAGCCTAAAGTGCAGGAACGTATCAAGACTCTAGAGGAAAAGTTTAAGGGTATTAAGATTATTGCGGGTGTCGATAGATTGGATTACATTAAGGGCGTTCCGCAAAAGTTTCACGCGTTAGAAATATTTCTAAGTGAGCATCCTGAATGGATCGGTAAGGTAATGCTGGTTCAAGTCGCTGTTCCATCCCGTCAGGATGTGGAAGAATACCAAAACTTGCGTGCTGTTGTCAATGAATTGGTTGGAAGAATCAACGGAAAATTTGGCACAATTGAATTTATGCCAATTCATTTCATGCACAAGTCCGTCAGTTTTGAGGAATTGGTTGCATTATACGCCATCTCGGACGTTTGTCTAGTGTCTTCTACGCGCGATGGTATGAATTTGGTGTCTTACGAGTATATTTCTTGCCAGAAAGACAGACATGGCGTCTTGATCCTGAGCGAGTTTGCCGGTGCTGCTCAGTCTTTGAATGGTAAATTACATTATTGCGTTATTCGTCTTTCACGCTTGATTATTCCTATGTTTGCCAAGTTACGATAATTAAATTTTTTAATAGGCTCTGTTATTGTTAACCCTTGGAACACGGCGGAACTTGTCAACGCCATCCATGAAGCCGTTAATATGCCCGATGATTTGCGCAAGAAAAATTATGAGAAATTATATGGCTATGTAACAAAACATACAGCAGCATATTGGGGATTGAGCTTCATTGAGGAGTTGAGGGTAATTATTAGGAATCAATGAATCTAATGTGTGGTCGTTTCACTTATCTATCATATATATTATTATCATTTAGCGTGCAAGTGAATATGTGCAAATTCCACGTTTAACCATAGAAGAAACCGTGAAAGCGGTTAAAGCATCTACCAAGAAAAAGGTGATATTGTTGGACTACGATGGAACTCTGACCGCAACTCACAAATTACCAGAATTCGCCAAACCATCCGATGTCATTATTTCAACTCTCAAATCTCTACAATCCCGACCAAACACTTATGTCTATATACTTTCTGGTCGTGGACGGCAGCATCTCGACAGTTGGTTTTCCTCAACGGAAATCGGTCTTTCCGCAGAACACGGCTGTTTTTACAAACACCCGAAAATCCTTCAAAGTACGATAGATCCGGTCAGCAATTGTCATTCGGAAGGGAGAACGGTTAAAGAAGAAAGTAATGGTTGGTATAGACTTGTAGAACAAGTCGATCCTGCCTGGAAAGAGAATATTAGGCCTTTGTTTCAACATTATTATGAGCGAACTCCAGGCTCGTTTATCGAAGAAAAAGAAATCAATTTAACATGGCATTATCGCAATACTGATCCGGAATTCGGAGCATGGCAGGCTACAGAACTTCAAATTAATCTGGAAAAATTATTGAGTCACATGGCTTTATCGGTAAATTTCTTGATTGACATTTTTTGCTCGAATGAAAATCATCATTAATGTAAATCTAAATTTCAGATTGAAATTGGTAACAAAACTCTCGAAATTCGCCCCGCAACAGTGGACAAATCGACGGCCGTCCGTGCAATATTAAAAGACCTACAATTCGTAGGAGGTGTGGATTTTATACTTTGCGTCGGTGATGGGAAAACGGACGAACCAGTTTTCTCGTTACTCAAAGAAAGCTATCCGAACAGTATTACGAGTACAGTCGGGAAAAAAAGAACTGAAGCTAAAACTTATATTGATAATGTTAAAGATGTTCAAAAGTTGTTAAATACGTTGGCGCAAGAGATTCCAGAAAAATAACCCTAATAATAATAATAATAATAATAATAATCTTGATCTTTGATAATGGTCGATTTCATATATGTACCCTTGGTTTTTTGCCTCCTTGAACATTGAACCAGTTTTTAATATAGATCTTTAATTTTTAATATCTATATCTTTTTGACCCACAATTTTTATGTAATATAATATTTAGTGATTCTGATTCAGTACCAGTCAATCACAAAAAAAAACACGAAATCACTTGGCAAATGCCAGAGAGATTATTAAAAAATTTGACATCTTAATTAGTGTCAATCAAACGTGTGACTAAAAACTAAATCAAAGTATGATTAACAATCCTTTTTCTCTTCTAATGAACTTTAGCGTAATTGAAATTAGCACAAATTTTATCTCTCATTGAACATTAACAATCTGTTCTTAGAAAAATTGCACATCTTGCAATAAAAAAAAATTAGCAGATATCCCATTTAATCTCAAATCTAACATCAATCTCTTTCTAAATTAATAGCTTTCCCGAACTTCCCATACAACGAAACCTTCAACTGATTCATTTTTTCAACGTAACCGTCCATCTCATGTTTCAACTTTTCGAGTTCTTGTGTGAGAAGCTCTGATTCACGTTCAATCCGTTCCTGTGCCTCCTGTAGCGGCAACGTGATGAAAGCATCTCCTATTTTATATCTGCGAGAAGGGGAGGATGGTCGAAGGTTTCGCGTATATGTATATATATACACACGTAAATATACGTAAATATTATTTGCAAATGATAAGGAACGAATTGCTGAATGGCGTCTCTATGCTAATTATTACTTTACTAGTTCATCATCGTCGGCGAGTTCTAGTTCTGATGATAAATCCTCTAATGATTCTTTTTCTATCTACGTTTTTTCAGTTATATAGAACATTATAAATTCTGCATTATGGAAATCGAAGCAAGTCCCTGTTTATTTACCTTCTTTGCATTATAAATTTCTTCCAGATCAGAATATTTTGCATTTAATTTACTAAAGGAGTTTATTTGCTGCTGGTCTTCCCAGGTTACTTCCGCGTCTACTTCTTCGTCTTTTTTAATCTAATAATGTTTTCAAAGAGCGTGAATATTAAAGGAAAAATAAATTCGAAAAAGCCAAATATTCTCATATACCATACGCATTGTCGACATTAGTTAAAAAGTTTAATTGCATTCTAGAGATTCGATCAACATCTTTTGGTAGACTATACCCAATTTGAGTCGAGTTACGTGTCAAAGAAATTCGCACCATTATTTTTAATGATCATTACCGATACGAATTTTTTAGTTTTGACCAACATTTTATTATCGGAATGGGTGATCAAGTAACTATTTGGTACAAGAGCTTACCTTCATGTACGCGATTCCTGTTTTCAAGTTTTGTTGGAATCACAGCAGCTGGAACCTTTTTAACTGGTCCCCATTTACTTTTTTTTGAACCACAGTTAATATTCAAGGTAAGAAAAATTTCTCACGCGACTGAACATTCGAACTTGTTTGCAAAAACATAATAACCCCATTCTCATTTTTTCCTCATGAATTAGTTTCGATATCCTCAATTATGGCGAGCATATACGTGTTTCTTCTTTCAACATTTTGGCTTGAATTTCGCATTCCAATTATATTTCCTATACAGATATTCGAAAGAGCTGGAAACGACAAAGTTTGCCGGCAGAACTGCTGATTACGTGTGGTTTTTGGTGCTTACTTGCACATTTATATTAGTATCCTTTTTTAATCAATAGAATAATAGGATTCTAGCAAACTTTGATGTGCTTGGGCTATTAATTAATTATATATTGGTCATCAGAAATTAATCTCGATCCCACGATAATAATATCTTCCTTGATCCATGGACTTATCTTAGGCTACATCGTCTATTTATCCTTTGTATTACTACAACCCGGCTTTAGTTATGTCGATTGTATATCTATGGTCTCAACATAATAGGGATAAGATTGTTTCCTTCCTGTTCGGGCTGACTTTTAAGGTAAAACTTGTATTGATCTAATCAATCATATTATATAATATACCTTTTAAGTAACTAATTTCTCTATCTTGAGCTTTTAGCTAAACTTATGATTTTTTCTACTTGATAGGCTGTCTATTTCCCATTTGTTCTACTAGCCTACGAATTTTTATCAAGAAATGGAGCACTGCCATTAAGCATGATTGTTGGAATACTTGCTGGTCATCTTTATTTTTTCCTTGATGAGCTATATCCGGCTTCAGGCGGCCCTAGACTTATCAGAACACCACAGTGGCTTTACAGATTTTTCCCGTTAGGTGTTAGCTCTGATGGAATAAGAGCAGCCTATGGAAGAATCTTTACGCCAAATACACAGAATACGCAAAGTACAACGATACCACAACGTCCCGTCAGTGGACATAATTGGGGAAGAGGGCAACGATTAGGAACGTAAACATATCATTTTTTTTATGACACCAAGTTCTTTGTCGAGTAATGTCAATATTAGTAAGCTGAATTCTTAGTCAAGTCAGGGTTTACTACTAAGGATTTAATATAAATATATATATTTTTTTTGCTGATGCTTCCAATGTACAAAAAAGAAAATTACTATCTTACAGAAAGAAATAAATATAATTTAGCGTTCTTTTGAAAATGCATTTATACATTGACATTACTGCTAGATATATTCTAATTTGATATTTGATGCTGGTTTATTTGAAACCATCTAAAATAATAAAGATTACAAAGGCGTTAATTAAAATGAATTCGTAAAGAATCATCATCACCATGCAACATTTACTAACCTTCCGGTACAACTATATCCTTCCAAATCTAAATACACATAAAAATATCAATTAAACTCTGTTAAAGTCAAGCCATCATCAAAATTTTCAATCACTTACCGAAATTATCTTGTGGATTGCAATGGCATTTCATTTGCAGATTCATTTCGACGGGACAATGCATAAAAGGTTCGTGCTTATATCCGATCTCGTTAAAGAAATGGATTTCTTTCTTCTTTAAAAATAGTGCTGCTGCTATGGAGTGAACTGGCGCATCGCCCCAACTAAGGAAAAAAAAATCAAAATGATAGTCAATTATATTAGGACGAATCATCACCAAAATCTCAAGCTTTGATAAATCATTAAACACGTACCGCTCGTAAAAGAATCCACCTTTATGATCTAGAAAATCGAAAAATTTCAAATATCGTTCGCTTCTCCAAAGATTCAAATCTCCAATTTCGAAATTAGACCAAAAGTGACATCTAAATTTCAAAACTTAAACATTTAATCACTAGAAAATTTTACAAAAAAAAAATCCAGCAATAATCAAATAGTATGCCCACAAATTGTATGTTTCTCCTTGATCATAGGAAATAAAATCCATGGCATTGTCTTTTTCGATGTATTCCGGGTATTTTTTCATGAATTCCCTAACCGTTTTCCATAAAGTTTTGATAGTCTCTTCGTATTCATACAAGGATACGGTGAAGCCTTTAAACAAAAATCAATTATATCATTATTGTTCTTAGGGAAGTGGGGGTTTGGATAATACTTCTCATATATATATATATATATATATATATAATAAACTATATCATATTTTCAAAAAAAAACTCAGCGGAGAGGCTCAGTTTTTATAATAATCCATAACGAGGTAATATATGCCACTCCCTTATTAAATAATCTTTGGATTTCATTAAATCATGCTTACCATATTTTATTCCATGTTCTTGCATATACATAAACGGATCATAATCAATATCGCAATAATAATGAACACCGGGTTCTACACGCCAATAATAATCATATTTATCCAATAATGGATGACGGAAGAAGAAGCCTGATTCGAATCTACGTTTTTTATAAAAGGTTTATTTATTCGTTTATTTCAATGCTAATGATAATATTTACCATGAAAATAAATACCAATCTCACCTGCACATATGACGATATGATTCGCTTCCACCATAAATAACATCTGCTTCTTCCATTTTTTTCATTTCACTTCTGGCTCTGTCAATATCAATCCAATCGGGAACACTCCAATGTTCCTCAGGTATAAGCCCTGTATTCAATCAAAAACATACAATGAATCCTTGAAAGAAATAAATAAAAACGCATTTTTTTATCCATTTAATAATACCATATTCCGTTTTTGCTTTTGTCATGGCGCTACTAAGTCTTTTAAACTCGTCCGTAAACTCCTCGTCATTCAAAAATAAATACGGATAATTATATTTATGGTTAAACCGGTCTTCTAATTCACGCATTGACGCGCGCAAGTCGTGAATGTCTCTATTACGAACTAACACGACGAACACAGCCTTGGCTCTTTTCGTATGTGTGGTATTTTTCGTGGAGACAACCGGTAACTGTTTAATTTCAACTGATTTCTGTTTAACTTCAACTGTTTTAACTTCAACTGGCTTGACGTCAACTGGTTTCTCTTCAACTTCTATGGGAGGTTCGGCAGGCGGTGACTTAAGCCCGTCTTCTTCATTATCAAAGAAAGAGTCTAAAGTTGATTTGGAAAACCCGGCTCCCTCTGGGCGAAAGTATGCTAGTAATAAGTGAATGCCGACAACTATACACACGGCTAATAACAGATATTTTGTATTCGCACGTTTCCACATTGCGCTACGTACTTTTTAAATTGAAACCTTGAAAATATGCTTATCAATATAAACTCTTTTTATAGTACATTTGATTGAAAATATATGCTTATCGATATAAACTCTTTTTATAGTACATTTGATTGAAATAAACCCACTATCATATCGGATGCATAAAATTAATTTTGCCTGTTACGTCTGGCTAAGGGGAGTGTGATCAGCATGCACGTGAAGAGGTTCTGCCAGTACTATCAAAAACGACTTGGGTAGATGATCAAGATGAACACGTGATACTACCTTGCTTTTACTGAGCCCCAAATTTTGAATTCAGACAAGTTATTCGTATTGTTTCATACTCATAATTTGTAACGAGAAACATCAATAACGATACAAGGCACTTACTAACTTTTGATCGAGGATCGGATAAAATTAATTATGCAAATATTGACTACTAACGCTAAATAAAAATGCGATTAAACCTATGCATAAATCTTATTAAAAATATTCCGTAGGAAAATTTTACATGTACTCAGCCTTTTAAACCGAAACCTAACCTTTTTAATTCCTAACTTTATAAACAAACTTTTAATATTAATTTATGTTTGTTTTCACTACGAGATTTTGATGATGGTTCTCCATCGCCCAGTGAAAAAGAACAAGTTTAATGTCGACTATTACTAGATATTCGTATTCGCACGTTTCCCACGTATTGAAGGCTTATCCTTTTATGGTATATTTGATTAAATGAACTCTCTATCATATTGGATGCATAAAAATAAATTTTGCCTGTTTTGTCTAACTAAGAGAGTGTGATTGTCGGTCACGTGAGGACCTATTTGGGAAAGCGAAAGTTGTAAACTTGTTTTGATTCAACGAGACACATCAAACCTAGTTCTAAACTTAAAAAAGATATGCGTCTCGAGAGGAAATTCATGAAAAAAGCTTGTCAAATGTTATTACTATCATCATACAGTGACCTCGCAAAAATCACCACTTATATTGCAATCCAATGAACGCAAAAATAAATAGATAAATAAACATCCAATACTGTGCTATACTACAGATAATAAATAACGGATAGATCGATCCGCCAACGCCCTCGGTGCGTTTTTTTATCAAAAATGTAAAGAATATGCTCTAATTTTTCTGAAATATAAAACTGTTTATATAATAAACTTGTTATAGTATTAACATATAATTTTTATATAAAATATTATTTTTCAAGTTTTTTATAAAGATTAGCATCTTGATTCATAAATTATTATAATGTAAATAATTTTTTTTGTATTTTTATAAAATGAATTCTAATAAAAACATATTTTTTCATTAAAAATAAATTTCATTTTTTAATAAAATAATGATTTACAAAATTGAAAAATTTATTTTTTTCTAAACCTGTAAAATAAGAATTTACATTTAAAATACCATAAAATTTTTTTTATTATATTATAAAATTTAACATTACGAACAAGTTTAATTATATAGATTGTTATATTGAGTCTTTTATCAGTCACTATATTTAAAGAACTTTTTAAAATAATTTTTTATATGTGAAGAAAAAAGTTAGAGCATATCCTATTGTCCGGAAGGACTATATATAAAAATTGATTGTCACGTGGAATTTCCCGGTTGTCACTCCACGTGACTGGTTATAATTAAATAAAACCAATTAAAAAATTTATCGCTCCGGACTCGGTATAATAATGTGCGTTCATTGGATTGCATGTAAGTGAAGAATCAGGTAATGAACGATTAGCAATGTAAGTGGTGCGTTATTTTTGCAGGCCGCTATATATATATCGATATCTCAAAAAACACGGTCAGAGCCTGATGAACAATGTTAAACATTACGTCGGTACAATCACTGGAGTTCTTTCAAACAATATGGACTTTCACGCAGGACTACCTCCCGCCGCTCAATGCAACAGAACTATTCTACAAACTACACGAAGGCTTGAGCTCCATCACGATCAATTCAGACTTTATAGTTCTTTGTATAATTTTCCTCATATCATACATCATATGGATTGTTAGCAAAGCTGTTTTCAGCGTGGTATGGAATATGGTTAAATTTGCCTTTCGGGTTGCGCTGTTCGTCGGTCTTTACTGGTTATGGATGAGCATCGATGTTCAACGTGGCAACCAGGAAGTACGCAGCACTGCACAGAAAGTAGTTAGCGGTGTGAAAGGAGTTGTACGCGAAGCGGTTGTAAAAATTGAACATGATGAGCTGTAGGACCCGTAATTTTATTGATGTGCCGCCATCTCCTTCGTTGTTATGATAAAAGTGGAATGATTTAGTGTCAAACGATGTGATTGGATCGTCCGAGAATATTTTCGTTGTGTGACACAAGGATTTATGTACATTGTATTTTTCGCGTAGTCAAGTCAAATTCATGTAAAATAATTAGATTTGTATATTTTATCAGATAAACTGTCTGCCTTGAAAAGCAGCAAAGATAAATAACAAAATCGATAACTTGATAAATAAGTAAAGCGTATTAGTTCAAAAGATTCGATGATTTCTATTATACATTTATTTTCTATTTTATTTGTACAAAATGAAAACTCCGATGGTTAATAAAAATTATAATAATCAAATTATCCATGGAGACTGTCTTGACTAGCGATATCTTGAATTTTCAGGATAACTTCTTTAGCAGCTTCTGGGATTTTTGTTCCGGGCCCAAAAATAGAGCTAACACTAGCATCTTTAAGGAATTGATAATCTTGATGAGGAATGACGCCACCAACCACAATAATCTTGTCGGTTACGCCAAGTCGATGAAGTTCGTTAATAAGTGCTGGCACTAATGTTTTATGTCCGGCAGCTTGTGATGAAACGCCAATCACATGCACATCGTTATCGATTGCTTGACGAGCAACTTCTTCTGGTGTACTGAATAGCGGGGATAAATCCACGTCAAATCCAAAGTCACTGAATGCAGAGGCTATCACTTTTGCGCCACGATCATGTCCATCTTGTCCGCATTTTGCGACGAGAATTCGTGGATTTACACCTAATTTATTTCGTGTTTCCTTTATAATGAAAAAAAAGGTATAGCGTAAGCATAAATGAATGTGAATTGTAAGAATTGGCAAACACTATTTCAGCGCCTTTGTATATTACCTCGACTAATTTGATGGTTTCGCTTACTTCACCTTCAGTTCCAAATGCAGATTTGTAGGCTCCACTGGCAACGCGACTTGATGGCTCATGACGTCCCCAGATTTTTTCTAAAGCATAGGAAATTTCACCGACTGTGCATCGTGCTTTAGCAGCCTGTTTAATTAATTAACCAATGAGAATAACAATTTAGGATTGTGTTTTTGAGCATTTCATGACATTAATAGAAAAGCGCTCACCTCAATAGAAAGCTCCAGCAAATTGCCTTGATTTGTTTTAGCGCATTCCGTCAAAGCATTTAAAGCGGCCTCAGCCTTAAAAGAGACACCATAATTAATCATAATAATCTATCAACATTCAAAATTATAATGCAATAATTTTGACTTACTCTTGCGGTATCTCGGCCTGCTTTAATTTGGTTAATACGAGCAACCTGCTCTTCTCTAACCTTATTATTATCGATTGCGCGAACCTCAATTGGTGCTTCATTTTCGACTACGTATTTATTCACACCAACGATCGTTTCTATTCGAAAATACCACAAATTTAGGCTTTTTAAGATGGTTTTCCTAAATATTGTTTTTAAAAAATTTACCTTGTCCTGAATCAATTCTAGCTTGTCTTCGCGCAGCACTTTCTTCGATTCGAAGTTTAGGCATACCGCTTGCTACAGCTTTGGCCATTCCACCCAATTCTTCCACTTCCTCAACAATCGCTTTTGCATGGTCATATAAATCATTCGTCAAATTTTCCATCATGTAACTTCCACCCCATGGGTCTGCAACTTTTGGTATAAACGCCTCCTCCTGTAATATGATTTGTGTGTTACGCGCTATTCGTGCCGAAGTTTCGGTTGGTAATCCAACAGCCTCGTCGTAAGAATTGGTATGCAGTGATTGCGTGCCTCCCAGAGTTGCTGCCATTGCTTCAATTGTAGTTCTGATGATATTATTAAATGGATCCTAAATTGGAAATTGTGGAAATGCATTATCATACAACAAGCAAAAAATAGGGGAGATGGATGATTCTGTAATAAATACCTGCTCAGTAAGTGACCAACCGGAAGTTTGACAATGAGTTCGCAACATCGTTGACTTATGATTTTTAGGCTGGAAATTCTCCTGAACTAGATGCGCCCAAAGACGACGAGCCGCGCGTAATTTTGCAATTTCCTTTGAGAAAAGGAAATTATATTAGAAGATCTAAAATGCATTTTGCTTACAAAATGTAATAAGAAGGTCTAATTAAACTCACCATATAAAAATTCATCCCGATTCCGAAAAAGAAGGATAATCTAGGTGCAAAATGATCGATTGTCATTCCAGCCTTGATACCTGAAAAATCGTATATTCTATGCATCAGTCTAAGGTGTGCCATTAATTAGGAAAGGAATGTCTTTGATTCTAAATAATAAAATAATGACCTGTCTTAGCATACTCAATTCCATCGGCAACCGTAAATGCTAATTCAAGCACATTATCGGCACCAGCTTCCTGCATATGGTAGCCTGATATCGAGATCGAATTGTATTTAGGCATATGCTAAATTAAAGTATTCGTATTAAATATAATCTATTCTGTATTCCTATAAATAAAACGAAATAAAGATCTACCTGTGAAGTGTATGAAAATATATCACCAATTAACTTCATTGAGGGTTCAGGTGGATATATAAAAGTATTTCGGACCATAAACTCTTTTAGAATGTCATTTTGAATAGTTCCTGAAAGCTCTTCTAATTTTGCACCCTGTTCTAGTCCAGCCACTATAAACATTGCCAAAATTGGCAATACTGCGCCGTTCATTGTCATGGAAACCGACATTTTATTTAGAGGAATACCACTAAAAAGGATCTATTCATTATAAAAATTTGACCGTAAATTTAGAGCAAGCTACATTTTACAATTGGCAATAAATAAATTGATACCTTCATATCTTCTACTGAATCTATAGCTACACCAGCCATACCGACATCTCCTACTACACGGGGATGATCCGAATCGTAACCACGGTGGGTAGCTAAATCGAAGGCAACAGATAAGCCCTGTTGTCCCGCAGCAAGATTTTTTCGATAAAAAGCATTTGATTCTTCAACGGTACTAAAACCAGCATACTACGATGTTATTTAATAATGTAAGTAAATTCAAAATATTATTGGCTCAAAAAACGCGTGCAACGAAAAAATACGCGTAAATAAAATCACGTGATAAATCACACAATGCACAAGATAGGATTTTGCCTAACCTGGCGAATCGTCCACGGCCTAGCAGTATACATCGAAGCATAAGGGCCTCTGGTATATGGAAATTTTCCCGGTATTTCGTCTTGAATGAATTCTGCATCAGCTTTTGTGTAAACAGGTTTCACATCGATGCCCTATATTCGTCGTGAAACATTGAATATTCATGATCTTTTGATTATTGTCAAATTAAAACCTAAATTTTTCGAAAACTCGCCTCAGACGTATGCCATGTTAAAACTTTTTCAGGATCTTTCCCTTTTAATTCTTTTTTGACAAGATTTACCCACTCTTCATTAAACGGAGCTTTTTTTGATATTACCGAGGCTAAAGCCTAGAATTCAGATCTATGGATTAATCATGATATTCTATAAAAAAGGACGATTTAACATGATATGCTACAAGAATAAATTAAAAGCCACGTTTTACCCTTCTTTGAATATGATCACACCCGACCAGTAACCTTTTCGCATTTCTCAAAAATATTCTTTGCATATTCCTTTATTATAATGATCAAACGAGGTATAAAGAAATTATTTGAAGTTTTTTGAACTTCCTTCGAAGTGAAGATATATATGTCATCATCTAAATGAAAAGAGAAGTGGGCTGATCTCCGAAATGTCTAAATAATCACCTGATAATGCATTATTTATACATGTATGATATGCATCATTCGATTAAAGTTATGGCAAGTCAATGACGTTAAAAAATTCCCGAGATCGACATACTTCCGGCCAAAACTGCAATTTAGTTATGGCTTATTAAACTATCAACTTTCTTTGATCATCTGCAGCTACTCCGTCATACGATTCGCGCCAAAAAATGAATTGATTTATTTCTTTACGATTATAGCATTTCACCAATTATTTGTTTATTTAATAAAACGTGACGTGACACTATATACAAGGGTAGAAACTCGCAAAATGCATGCATTAATTGTTAGGTATTATCAGTTAGGTCCCGAAACTCTTGGATATAGATGGAACCCAAACCTAATAAGAGACATTTGACACTTGCGGCAGTTTGGGATACGGTTTGACCTTTTTGGCAAATCCCAAAATAGTTTTCAATTCCCAAACTCTGTATCAATCCCAAACTATGTGTCAATCCCAAATGCTTATAGTCAAATCAAGTCATGAGAATGATGCATGTGAATAGGAAGGGCAATAGAACTGTGCCAATTCCTACACACGAGAAAGTATGGCAGGATGTCAAAAAGGAAATGACTTAGAAATATCATAAATAGTTAGATTAATATGGCGTAATTAATGGAAATTGCTAATTTAGAAGAGGCAATCTGCGCACTACTGGTTGTGCAATAAAAAAATCATACTTTAATTCTTTTCTTTATAATGGAAGGCCCAATATACTACGTAATACATGCATCGAGAATTTCAGCGGTGGCGCAATATTTGATGTTTTTAAAGTGCCTGCACCATATTAATAGACATAATTCATATGCTAATCAGAAGTTTTTGAAGCATCGTAAGTCCTCGAAGCATTGGAGAAAGCTGTCAAAATATATACCTTAAATAAATAAACATGTTCGATTACTTCCTTCAAAATGTACAATTGATCCTTAGTATTTGGTATATTAAATTCTGTTAAAGCATCAACAACATAAAGATCTTCACTTGTTCGATGCATTACATAAATTGTAAACATTTGCTCTAAGTTTGATAAAAAGATCGTAAGGTTTGCAATAGATTTAATGAAATGCTTAGCCCTAAATATGTGTTACTTACGGTAGACGACAATTCCATATGATTCAACAAAGAATACTTGTTGTTCAGTAACCCCACGTGATAAATAGTGTTGACGTCGTGCAAATATGCTCAGCGATGTCGCCATGCTGCTAGGGAGCCAGAAGGGCACAGCTGATCGTTCTGCTCAATTGATCGCCGCGCTTGAGGCCCGTTCCACTCAGCTAGATAAACTCTATCGGTTCTCTGCTTTGGTTAACGTTGATAATGAACACTTTTTCAGTGTTATCGTTTAATTTTTTGAGATCAGTGTAAAGGGCATTGCCGATAACCTCTAAGAATCCTACTTCTAAAACAACAGCATTTACGTTAATTGAATATATCCCATCTTGGGAATATCCAATGCTAACCCGTCGCTTATATTGTCTAGTTTCATTTCTCTGCATTTTATTTGACAAATTTTCTACCTCCCCTCTGTGCAAAGACAACCAGTTAGCGATTAAAGGTATAGATAACAAATAAATAATGGCAGATCAGATACTTACGTTTTTACTTTGATTAAATCCATAACGTCATCAAAAACTTTAACAATAATGGGATTTATAAAATTTTCTCGCTAAGAAAGTTCACATTGATCTGGGTCCAATAATAAGTTGGTGGGTGCATTGAAGAGAAATAGACTAAAAAATAGATGGTATAAACTTAATGTCACATGGAAATGAAATAATCACAAATATTTATATTCACAATCGTTTATAAATATCCTGTATCCAGATGAGATCATAATGCTCTTTATGAATAAAATTTCCGGTATATGGTTTTTCAAGAACGACCTCAATAATATCACTTAAGGAAATTACATCAAATACGGATTTATTTTCTAAAGGAAGTTGGTACTTTTGTACAAGGGGGTTTATGATTTTTTTCCATTTTTCAAAACGAATCGTTTTTGATTTATCTGATGGCTCTAACTATAAAGATAAGCAAACTTATTAAATTTTCAATAAAATATTAAGCTTACAAACAGACAATGCAATACCGAGTTCCAAATATCCTTTAGGGTATGTTTTCAGAACTTGATAATTTATTAACGAGATTTGTGATATTTCGCTCGGAAAGGTTTTGTAATCAAATAATCGGTAGTTAATGGATTCTATTTTTTCGATTATTTTGTAGACACCTTCCGTCACATTCTGTGGAGTCTGAAAATAGAACATAGATCAGATGGGTATGCTACAATTTTAAAATTGAGTAAATGAGCGTTATTACCTCTTGAGATAAAAGATATATGTCTTCATTAGCAATATTGCAAATGTCATTATTAACCTCTCCGTGATTTTTTCCATTATCCAAATCAGAGGACTCGTCATGAACACATGATTCATTGTTATTGCACTGTTGTAATTTATTTTTGCATTAAGAAAATATCAAAAAGGCCAATAAGACATTATTACGAGATAGAATATAATTACCTCCTGGACCCAAGGGGGGTAAGCATTTCGTGAATAGATTTGATGTGGCGGAGTAGAGGGTTGAGACCGATCTTCAATTTTTGTTCGTTTGGGAACTTTGTTGTAGTCCTAAAGATTAAGATTGTAGATTTATTAGGCACAAATGCAAAATAATAGTTATAGCTAAAAAAATGTGTACCTCATGAATATCCCTTTTTAAAGAAACGATCCCATTTATAGTTCCGACTGTTCCGCTGTTTATAGTCGTTCCGTTGATAGTTCCACGAAGATGAATATGATTATGTGAGCGCCGACCCTCCCACTCTCTAGCCAGTTTGCGATCTGGTTTATCATCCTAATGAAAAAGATTATTTCCACATCCGCCGAATCAGCTAGAAGCCTTTAACAACAAAACAGCCTAGAAGGCCATTCTGCGCTCGACGGGGCCAGTGCAGGTCGGCTAGAAGCCTTGAACGCAGGTAACCTAGAAGGTAACATGCGCCCCAACAACACTGCCTGAACGTCAGACAACCTAGAAGGCCATCTGCGCTCCAATACCATTTTGCCCATTCCCTTGTTATATTTATCAATCAATGACTATGCCCTTCCCCCCCCCCCCCCCCCCCCCCCCCCCCCCCCCCCTCCCCCTCTCTCACTGCGCTGCTCGCTCTGCGGCTCTCACTCTCCCGCCACACGTTATTCACACCAAGC